AGGCTGGAAGGCAGTTTACTAACCGCCTGAAGGATTGCGTTACTTGCGGTGGTGGTCTCATATAGGCACTCGCTACGATAAGATCACGGTTCTGGTCCAGAGCAACCTGGACCACCACCACTTCAAGGCTGGTGTCATGCTGGGGGATGGTGAGGGGTATACGCTTGGAGCGGAGAGTTTTCCGCACCAGCACCGCCACACCGCCTCCCTTGCCGATGCGCGACTGTGCATAGAGCACATAATCTCCAGTATGCATGCTGGCGATCTGCTCCGACGACTTCCAAGTCTCCTGGATGGCTATTATGTCTGCTCCTTGCGCCATTAATGTTGCGAGTTTTGACGGCGTGAGGCAAGAAACGTTCATCTGGAGTACTGCTATGGGGCCTGGGTTCTGCTCAATGTCTCCGCTTAGCAGTAGCTTTTGTCGTTGCGCGTCACATACGGCACGCAAACAGTATGTATAGCGCTGATGAGCGCCGATGGAATTCAGCAGCGGATGGAAATACCGCTCCGCGGGCAGCCATGTACATGGCTCCATCTGGTGCCCTTCCGACCCGTTTGAGCGGCGCCTACTGCCTCTCCGCGTGCAGCGGATGGGCAGCAGGCGCTTAGCTTCCTCTCTAGCAAAGAGTACTAGACCCTGGCACCACGTTGAGGTGGCCGGCTGAGCCAGGGCCTCGTAAACGCCGTTTAGAACTTCGTAACTCCCGAAATGAGGGCAGTTTACGTCGCGACTTCCCTCCCACACCGGAAACACGAAGAGCTCATGTATTCATTCCGCATTCCCTAGTAAATCGCCGTTTGGGGCTTTACGGTAACTTTGATAACGTAGACTATACTTCACAGCAGCTTCGTGCAGAAGGGTGGCCAAAGCGCATTTTCTTTTTCGCAAAGGAATCCGCTCCAATTAGAGTCTTCATTTTAAGCGTAAACATCAAACGTATCCCACACACACACACACACAAACACACACACGCACATAAATCACCATCACCATTTTCTCCCAAATACCCTCGTCGACTGCATACACCCATCTGCATCAAAAGAAGCAAATGGGGCACACGCTTTAGACAACCCGCCACAAAAAAAAAGGCGCAAAAAGTACAGACAAACATCAATAACAAAGATCTCTTTCCCCCCGACCCACCCCACAGACACAAATGCACGGTACCAAATATACATATATTTTTTTTAAATTCACCTCACCGTTTGTTGTTGTTTTTTGTTTTTTCAATTATTATTTTTTTTTTTTTTTTTTAATTCTTTTCCTCTTGCACGCCTAAATAAATAAATTTATTTAAGGGCATGTTGTGGTTCCTAGGTGACAATTCCTCTTCTTTTCCACCAGAGCTCCGCTACTAGAAGCGGTACACGATGTCTTTTGTGTACCCCATCCTGCCGAGAGTCCCCTCCACGTCTGCCAAATTGTTCAGCACGGTACCCGCTGGCTGGTACGCCTGGCCACTGCTCATGGCTTTCAACACGGACGGTGGCGCACCAACCAACTTTTCCATCATTGGATCGGGGCCGCACACAAGAAGCAAATTTTTTGGCGCCGGCTTTGGCATCGTCTCCTGCAACATCTTCTCTGTGATATATCCAACGTAACCATTGTAAGAACCATCCTCGTTCTCTATTGAATCAACGGTGTAGTACACCTTTAGGCGATGGGAATGTTCCTGAGACAACTTGTCAAGCATACCCTTGAGCAAAATTTTGTTCTCAGATCTGTTGGCAAAGAGGAGGGAGAGTTTTGTCATGTCCCCGGGAGTATCCAGTGAGGCGTTTAAAAACTGTAGCAATGGACAAATGCCAGTACCGCCACCAATCATGCCAACTTCCTCCCATGCATTCTTCCTATACTTTAGTTTGTATTGCACAGTGCGGAAAAGAAGGGTTTCGCCTACGTTCATGGAGAAGAGATGTTCGGTAAAGCGACCATTCACCTGTTTCTTGACCAACAGGTCGAAGTAGCCCTTTGTACCATTACGTGTAACGGGAGTGTAGAACCGCATCGGTTGGTCCACGATGTTTACGCCTTCCTTAAAACAACCCTGCAGTGTACTGCATGGCATGAGGTCAAACTCCATTTCTGGTTTTGGTAGGAGAAAACGAAACACAGCGACGTCCTCCGCCAAGTTAATCACCTCGCCAAGCACAAATGGCTTAAATTTTGTCCCAAACACATTCTCTTGCCGGCATTGCGCCACACGATCTGGCGTTGCGGTGTAGGATTGAAACGCCGCGCCAAGAAAAGCGGCCGCGCTGAATGCAAGAAACTTCATTTTGTTTTGCTTGTTAAGTTAATTTTTATTTTTTGTTTTTTTTTTCCTGTTTTTTCTATTAATTTATTTATTTTTCTTCTTTTTTTTTTTCCCTCACTATTAATATTTATATGCGACTGTGTTCCCTTTGCAGTGGACCTCTAACCCTTTTCTTTTGCCTCGCCTTCTATTTGCTGATTGCGGCCCCACCCCCTTTTTTTGTTGTTGTTTTTTGGTTCTTCCTTCCTTCGCACACAACCCCCGCCCCGGAGGGGGGAAAAACCCGACAAAATCACAAAACAGAGAAGAAAGAAGTGCAAAGGGAAACGAAAGAAACGGCGGCGACGCACGCGGGGGGGGCCTGAGAGGAGTTGAAAGGAGAGGAGCGGGACCCCCCCCCC